TTTCATCCTTGCAGTCGGACTAATTGCTGCAGTGGTGCTTGCCAGTGGGTGAACTTTGAGTGTGTCAGCACCCTTTCTGGCTGGTTTGTTTCGTATTGACACTATTGCACTTAAATGGGACGCACAGCAAGTGTGTTTGAAAAACTACAGAGAAATTTCAGCTTCTTTAATTAAATGTCGTACGTTCTCGTTAATATCATCAGATTATTTAAATTTTTTTCAAAACCATGTTAAAGAGGAGTCTCTCCCAGGATTCAGAGTGTAAAGCTTAATAGAAACATCTGGGTGACGTGATGGCTCAGTGGTTACTTTATATGTCTTGAGAAGCAGGTCCCTATTTGACTGCTAGATGCATGGACGGATTTCATTCAATTCAATTTTATTTTATTTGTACAGCGCCAAATCATATTATCAATATCTCAAGCCACTTTATATAGAAGGCCAAGGCCTTAAAAATTTGAGAGAATCCCAACAGTTCCCACAATGAGCAGCACTTCGGTGACTGTGGAGAGAAAAAACTTCCTCCTTCATGCAGCTCTCATCCACGCTCAACCAATTTCCTGGTTCTCTTTCACAGTGTCTATGGAAATTAATCTTTTTAAACAGATTCTTCATGTGAATATACAGCATCTGTAGGTGAGGGACAAGATTTTGGGACCGGAATCCTTTTGGTGTCCGTTTCAGGCTTTGATTGGATGCATGTAAACGGTCCATGTGGAGAACAAAAAAACATTAACGATATAAACGTAGAATGCGTCAAAAATATACAAAAACATTGTCAAACCAAGGGACTCTTTAATGAATTCAATTCACCTGCATATTGTCTGTGAAATGTCGGGAGAATAACCCTGGAAACATGCACATTCCAAAAGGAAAGGACATTTACAGCACATGAATACATTTGTTGGCTATTTCAGTTACAACTCAGGCTGATGCCATATGCCACAAAAAAAAGTGCTCATGTGGTGTCTCCAAGGTTGTGTATATAGCTGTCAGAGCCCAACTTTAGCTCCGCTCAGGAAGTGGTACTAAATCTGACTTCCAGGAGCCTCGAGGCAGCGCGAGCTCTGCTGTCACTCATCGCCGTTCAAGCAGAAGTGTGGTTACATCTGCAAGCACGAGCTGTCCTGATTAACAGCCGTCACTGCTTTACCGCCATGTTTAAAGACCTCTGTGACAACAAAAGCTGAGAATGTAATTGTTTGGATTAGACTTAAATTGCTGTTTGATACTGCTCCAAATCCAGCCAATGGTTGGATGCTGACACTGAAAAACCTTGAAGTGTGCACACATGTAAACGCTCCTGCAGGTGATGTACGTGCATGCGTGATTTTCTGATCACAACACAGTGCTTTGGCTGCATCCGTCACTGATTTGAACCCTGCACTGTGTCAACCCATTGACCAACCCCACCACAGTGGTATTTTCTAACAGACGGATCAATAACTCCTGTCATTCTTCATTAATGTCTTCTTCCCAACATGTAGACCAAGTCCTTCCTCTACCTATGGCACATTCACTTCAGTACAGAATAGCAGAAACTCCGTGTTCTGTATGTGTGAAGCAAAAGTGAGACAAAACTGATCCGAGAGCAGCGCTACTACTGTGAGATACGAATAAAGCACATCATGAATTCCTGTCTAAAACGCTTAGAAATGTGCTGATGATGCAGGAGATGATGCCTCTGTCACTCCTATACTGGGCCACAGTGTCTCTCATATGCAAAGAGATACTTCTGCCTCTGTGTGTCAATGTGTGTGTGTGTGTGTGTGTGCGTGTGTGTGTGTCCTTTTCAATAATACCACTGTAAGCAATATCCGAGCTGCACTTTGTGTTGGTCCTCTCTTAATTAAATTTGTATCAAGCGGTTGAATGGACTGACCTGTTGTCTGCAGGAGGTGCACACACACACAAACCACACACACGCACGCACGCACGCACGCACGCACGCACGCACGCACGCACGCACGCACGCACGCACACACACACACACACACACACACAGGCTCCATGGTAAGTGTGATCTTGTGTGTGTGTGTGTCATGAGCCATTCAAACCATTTCATTTTTAGATAACTATATTTATTGAGAAAATCCACCTTGTACATTTCCTGGCCCAAAATTTAATTATGGTTTCAGATATGGTCACTTCCTCATTAATCAGTACCTCCACCCTGCCTCCAGCAGTCAATGAAGAGCTTTCAGAGAAATCTCAACTGACCCAAGTGACAACTTTATTTTCCTGTCTCATCATCTCAGTGTAAAACAGCACAGACCAGCTTTGTCAGTAAACATGAACCTGCTGTGTGTGGCGTGCTGATGCCACATCACCTAACATGATTGAGGGCCTTTGCTTTATCACAGGTTACACTAGACTCCCCAGCATCTTTGCTTTGTGTAACATCTACAGTGGGGGCATGTGGGATTGTTTTGCAATGACATTTTTCAGGTTCTGGATTTTCCTCTTGCATTTTTATTACTGAATGTAGTAGGGGCAGATCCAGGAGGAAACTTGCCCCAGCTGAAATCTGATTTGTCCCTGAGGTGCCCCCTGTCCTGTCACTTACTAACAATACTGACAATTAATATGTAAAAAGTAAATTCAAAACATGTGACTTGGCTCAAAGCTTTAGAGGTAATAGTAAATAAGGAGTGACTTAAATTTACACTGTACTGAATTGGTAATTGTGCATGGATGTTGGGCATATTATTGTGCCCTCTGTGTAAATTGTGGCCCCTTTATGGCCCCTGATTCCACCACTGGAATGTTGTGCAGAATTGATGACTGAGATGTATATACATGTCTGTGTTTGCATGAGTCAGATGTGCTGGGTGGCACTGAACCACTCCAACACGATCACTCTGGCTCTAACGTATCGACAGGAGCTGCTTGTAATTGACACTGAAACTGGCTGATTTAGTGAATGATGGCTGCTGCCATGATGACGTAATGTACAGAATGAAGTGGAACTGGCTGTAAAATGAATTGTGTTTTGATTTGGAACAAAACCCACCAATGTCCAGACAAGATGGGTCACCTCCAGGGCTGGGGACTGTACTGTACATTGTGTCTGTCCTTTCAAACATGTAATATGGCTCTACAAGCTGTTGTCATATGCTAATTGACCGGCACGTCCCAGATCTAAAGACCTAAAGCTATCAGTCCAAATTTAATTTTGAAGGGAGAAACAAAACACAATGTATCTAAAAAAATGACCAACTGAACTGTCACTATTATCTATAGCTCACAGCCAAATATATAGCTGAAACAACAAAGTATAAGGTTCAGTGAGTAGATGCCTCTGGGACTGTTCCTGCTGAGGAGCGTGTGGTGATGATGAGCTGCATACATTTACAGTACGGTTTTGTTTTGAGTTCAATGTTTATTGACTGTGTTGTGGAGGAAATACTTTTATGTTTCACCTGCATAGAGTTATATTCATTAACTATCTGCAGAGCTGGTGCTTTGCTTGTGCTGCTACTGCAAAGGTCGGTGCGGGTGGAAGACTTTATAGTGGATCATGATATTTGCTAGATTGACAAGTGGAAGCTGTAAAACGTACAGCCTTCATTAGTGTTTCTACTGTGTTTTGATTGATTCACACTTGTGATTTATTATATATATATGAATGTAAAGCCAGGAGGTGGAGCTCAGTATAGAAATATCTGTTTTTACGTAGGATGCACGGCCAAGAAAAATAACCTTCCATAAAACCAACACTTGTTTAACTTTTTCTTTCTAGAGATTAAACAAACTCAAACGTGTGTTTATTAGAAAGCATTTCGGAGGTGTGGGCAAGTCTTCCCTCCACCAGGTTTTGTGATAATCCGTGCTGTAGTTTTTGCTTATCCTGCAAACAAACAAACACAAGCAGAAGAAAACATGACTTCATTGGCGGAGGTAATAAACAGTGGCCCATTCGTGGGTCAGTCATGCTTTACATAGTTCGAATTCACAGAAACTTCAAATTCAAGTGGAGATCCCGCAGTTTCCAAATATGTCAGTCTGAACTTAATGGAACAAATTTAAAATAATGCTCAGTACTAGAATGAAATAGGTTTGGCCTGACGACCTTTAACCTACACAAACCATACATAGGGGTTTACACATATTGTTATCTTTCAGTTGCCAATGGGAAATGAACTATACAATAAAACTATACTACAAATGAATTCAATATATCTGAATTGTGCAATATATATATGTAGTACAATCTGTGGCATGTGGTTGTTAAGATCCTCAGCTTCAGATGAAATGAATCAATGAATGAGTGAATCCCCATGGTCCATTTAACCCCTGTGCCATGCTGTTGATGCACTGGCAACATTTCCAACCCGCAGAGTTGTTAGAAAAGAACAAAGCTTTAAATGATCAGTAAAAGCAGCAGAAACACAGGACTCTAACCCTCACCCCTGCTGTTACTGTGATAACTTTTCTAGTTAGTGTGCTGTAGTTAGTGTTCTGTGATAGGGTTCCCCATTCTCTTTATTACATAAGATCATCCACTCTTATTGTGAAATGATAGGGGCCATTAGTTTGGCTGGATGCACACTGGAGACAACCTGCAGTTTAAACCTACATTATGGTTTTCTCTAGGCAAAGTTTTATGTTTTGAGTGTGAGTCACAAAATCTCTGCCTAATTAGTTGAAGAAAGAAAAAAAAGTCAAGGTCCCAGGGGTGGTGTGTAAAGTTTAGGTGTCAGGAAAAGCACCATGCATGCACCAAAATAATGATTGTCCCTTCCTTCCTTCATTCATAAAATAAGATAATCCTTTATTATTCCCACTGTGGGGAAATGTGCTGTGTTACAGAAGCAAAGAGGCCAGGCAAAAAAAGTGAGATGGGGTGAACATGCAATATAAATGCAATTAAATATACAAATTTATAAGAATAGAATTGAAGTATACAGCCAGCACAGTATATATATGGTGTCAGCAGCATATTAAAGGTTGTTTACTCCCTATTTGAGAACCTCACCTGTCAACTGTTTGTGTTACAGAGTTTTGCAGAGAACACCATGAATGAGCTGCTGGGCTGGTACGGCTACGACAAGGTGGAGCTGAGAGACTCTGACAACCTGGACATAGGGGACACACCCCAACACATCTCTGTCCTCAGAGGTATGAGACTCCATCATACCGTTTATTTATAAGCACCGTACATTTACTTGAGTGCATGTATTTTGGTTGGCATGTTTCATCGTCCATCAGCTGTTCTTACGCTGGATAAAAGGTTTAAGACAAGTGCTTGTGAAAATCATGGCTAATTATGTGATTATGTTGGCGCATGACTGTGAGACCTATTTGTGATAGTTTTAAAGCCCATGGACACACAGTTTCTGAATATTGAGTCCATAGGTTGTTTTCCTATATTGTATATATTTGTTTGCGTAGGTTTAAGTTTACTTCTCCTGCAGGAAGTATACAATTGGTACATCAGAGCTTTTCCACAGCAGCAAGAACAGCAATGTGGAGTTCTTGGAGATTAAACAAAAACATTAAAGTTGCTACCTTATGACCAAAACAATGAGCTGAAAGATGCTAAAATACTCTGTTGACCTGAAGACAACTTGCCACATTCTTTTTCCCAACCCGATTGAGCCCATCAGAAAACGAACCAAGGCTGATCCAAACCTGATTAGTTTTTTGTGTCCAAACCAAGTAGGTAGTTCAGCCATTATGACCACACCTGACCTGAACCAGAATATGATTTAAAACCTTTTGTCTGGACCCAGCTCCACCTGTCAGGACACTCAGGTCAGGTGTCCACACTATGAAGGGAACAGAATGCAGAGATTGTTGCTCATTCAATATGAGCAAATCTTTCACATCGCATTTATTCTGGTCCATTATGAAGATAAAATGATTGATTAGTTGATGTTTTCATTGTATTTATTCAATGTCATAGAGGATAGAGACAACAAGAGCTTAAAAATAAAATTCCAAACCCATTTCTATAAACAGACACTTGTGCTTCGAGTGTGAAATGTGAGTCCAATGTGAGTTGCAGTGAGTGAGTGCTGCAGCATCAGTCATTCAGCGAAGCTTTATTTTTGCTAAATTTCTCCTGTCTAGAAAACTTGTTGCCAAAAATCCCAGTTTCAGCAGAGAGCAGCGAGGGCTCCCCGGATCGAGCCAACAGCTCCCAGTCTCTGCCAGCCCCCAGGAACGGAGTCACAGATCCCTCCACCACACCGTACACCTCCACGCCCGGCAACAAGGAACATGGCAACCTGCCCATCATAGTCCCCATGATCCCTCCGCCACTGATCAAGCCCCCTGCAGGTAGGGAGCGCCGACACATTCTTTGAAGTGACACAAGCAGGATATTATTTCAAAAATAGGAAAGAAATCACACATGACTGCCAGAGAAGAAACAGTATCAAAATGTATTCAAATATACAAAGCCCACCCTCTACAGGCGGCACATCCAGTTTGTTTGTACATTTGTCTATTTTGAACAAGGCTACATTTTAAATTTCCAAAACAATCAAGGTAAATTTTAGCCTGGTATATTCAGTCCAATATCCAAACACAACACAGCCACTTCCTCGGTTTAAACCCCCAACCAGAAGCTGTTCTCCTGACGGACTGCACCAAAAGTACAAACTTATTTGTTAATTCACCAGCACTTAGCAAGAAAACTGAATGTTTATGCGATGTGAATTGTGTCTGTCTTTGCAAAAGCCTGAAAGCCTCCGTATCAGCCAGGGACAGGCCACTAATGAGCTAGAGCTACCTGCTGTACACCTTGTTCTCCTCCACCTGCCCAAGTGTCAATATTACCCCCATCAACTCTCCAAGGAAATGTCCGCGTTCCTCGGCCAGACAGAGGCTTCATTATCCCCTGCGTCTGCTGTGGCACAGGAGGTTGGTACGCCCAGGCGGAGGGAGCACGCCGCCTTGGCATCGTCCAAGAGGAGTCCCCGCTGGCCCTGCCTAGGCGGGGAAACAGATGGTGTGGTCCTGCTTAGAGCGTAGCACCAACCCGCCACCCGGCCAACACCCCCTTTAACTCGCTGCCTCACCCCCTACCCCCACACATAGGCTGAATTATTCATGTGCCCTGCAAAATCCGACAAAGGACCTTTTGAGGTGCAGGTACGGTGCACGATGGTGGTATTTAGTATGGAGGCTGCATAATTGCCAGGTTGTTGGGTTTTTTGCCCCTCATGCAGATGTGAGTGTTTGGAGATGGGCTTGTTACAGGGAGCCAGGATGTGGGAGGGCGGAAACAATTTCCACCTCAAGATGTGTCTTTGTGCAAAAATGTTGAGATATCAAGAAAGATGTTGTGATTTGATGTTAGCCTCGGATCCTGTTTATAACACTGTGGTACATATGTTATTCCAGCACAAACTCTGATCCACCTACTCAGTCAGCTCAGAGTGAAACTATTTTCTGTTATCACTGCAGTGGGCAGCAGTCCAGACACTCACACAAAGCTGGAGAGACTATAGGAATGAGACAGAGAGAAAAGGAGAAGAGAGACATAAAATATGCATGTTGGGTCCACTGTGCTGTCTTTAGGCCTCCAGGGAGTTATTCCCTTAATTATGAGTTAGTCTTTACTTAAAATCTGATGGCCCTGTAGATCCATTAAGCTCACTAAGAGGTGAAAAGCACGGCCAACGATGCAAGCGGGGGTGAAAGACTAATGGGCCTCTGTTTTCTTTCACCCTCACACCCGCACAGTCATAATGTGATAATTGGGAGATACAGGAGGGATCTCTGTGAATGTCTCTGATTGCAACAGCGGCGGCACTAAAAGCCAGCAGCCACAGTTTACCACAAAACAGGCATTTCACTGCCACTGAGGGTCTGTTGGCAACACTGACCACACAGCACCTCTGCAGCTACATACCCTCAAATCCAAAGGTTAAGATATCATATGACAATTCTTCAGTAAAATGTCAAAAACCAAGGAGACCTATATTATATATTTCAATAACTTGTGTACATTATCCACAATGTTTCAAGCAGTGTTCAAATAATATATATATATATATATATAGGTAAAACTAAAGTAAGTACGTGTTGAGATCAGCTGTAGATTTACTTAGACATTTTGTAGGGGTAACTGTAAATCTTAAGAACTACAGAAATGTGGTTATACACATTTTGAACTGCAAATTCATTATCACCTTACAGTCACTCTCCCTCAAACTTCTTACATTTCTACAAAGCAGTATTAACTATGAAATAAACATAAAAATGCATATCAACTGAAGATATATAAAAATCCAAGAGATGGATGACATGAATTTATTGACAACCTATTACATTCCACCTTGACTGCCAGAGCTCTGCTGCAAAATGCCTTAACACATGCACACCCACAAACATAAATACCAAATAATACTGACTGCAACATGTAAACAGTAAAGAGCCTCGCCACATCATCAACTGAAATCAAATGAATAACAGATATAAAAAAACTCACAACAAACATTAAAGGCTTAATAAATGCAAACCAGAGCTGCAGCCATTTTACCCAACAGCACTTTTCATTTTTGCAGGGTGTTTTGTGGATTTATGAGAATGAAAGCTGTATATTTAAATTGTGTGTAAAACAGTTGAAAATAACCAACAGCCACAGTGTATACTCTCACATCAAGTTCTGTATTGTTGTTACACTGTGTAAAACTCCATACTATAATTTTTATTTCACATTATTTTATTTATTTCCCATTTATTATTTACTTTCTGTCTAAGCTTGACACTGAAACAGTATAAAATCATCAGAAAATGTATTGTATCATGTACAACACTATAACAATATTATTAATAGCTCTAATCTTTACAATGTGATTTAGGAGATACTTTATGTGAAGTCCACTGTTTTTGATGTGTTACTCAGTTACTGTCCTCGTGGCCTTCTGGGTAATTTTTTAAAATATATTTACTTATTTCTGGTTCTCTTCCCTCATGTTTTTTTGATTTCCTTTTCTTCCTTCCACCGTTCTGCCCTCAGAGTGCCCTCATCATGAATAATTTGGGAATAAGAAAGAGAAGGACAAGTAACTAAATGGACTGTGGTTTCAGTCTTTGTGTCTGTGTAGAGTTTCCTTCACATCGGGTCAGTTCATGTCAGAGTTGTTGGCCATGGAGGACTGTTTGTCACTTCTCTTAACCTCAATGTAATTTTATCAAATTTACTCAAATGTGTTGCTCTTTGAATCAACCCTGGACACTGGACACTGTCTTTGGCACAAACACAAACCATGAGAACTATTTCAATTCTGTGTGACACCAACATGGGCTGCACATCGGCATCGTACCTTCATATCCAGGATCAGCAGTCTACATCGTGGCTGCGGCCACATCATGGATCATGTATTGTAATCGTGGATCATATTGTGGTGGCAGCTGATCGTGGATTATGATTACAACTAGATTGCCTAGATATACAATATATTGGCAACACCTCTATCATTACAACTGTCAATACTGCTCTCTTCACCTCTGTCAGACACGTTCTTTTGTATAAGACGTTATGTTAGACACACTCTGCTCTTTAATGTTGTAAATATGGTTATTTTGTTGACTTGCCCTGTTTTACAAGATATCTGTTTTACTTCTGTCTCATCCTGGAAGAGGAATCCCTCACTTATGAGTCTCTCAATTCAATTCAGCTTTATTTGTATATGTTTTTTTCCTGCTAAAACGTTTTTTGGTAGTATTCCCTTGCTCTTGTTGAGGGTTGAGGATGTTACACCTTATCGAATCCTATGAGATAAATCGTGATACACAAAAAGACATCTTCTCACATCCTAGGCTCATCCAGGTTTTCTTCATATACCCATGACAAGGCTTCATTATAAATTTGTGGCTTGTAAGTTGAGCAGATTTAACCAGCCCAGTAGCTATAGGTTGAATCAGCGGAGAGATGTTATTGACTTAGGCTCATTAGTTGTTGTATGCTTGTTGTCCACCAATGACCTACACTTGACATACAGTATAACAGACCAAACTAATCTTTGCTAAAGTATATATTGTTTTCAGAATCTTAGTACCACCACATGTACCTAAAGGGCAACATAAAATAAGAAATGTAGGGGATAATAGTGGTTTGTCCCACATACACTCTACACTTGAGCTCCATCCAAACTCACTTTGACTGTTGGTTGTTTATCTCCAGATGAGGATGCATCCAACATGCAGATCATGTGCGCCTGGTGCCAGAAAGTCGGTGTCAAACGCTACTCTCTGAGCATGGGGAGTGAGCTGAAGAGTTTCTGCAGTGAGAAGTGCTTCGCCGCCTGCCGCAGAGCCTATTTTAAGAGAAACAAGGTAAAATTCCTTCCTCATCATCAGCCGGGCGCTGTGATATAACACCTTGTAGAGACTTTGCATTTCCACCATGTCACATGTCTCTGGCAACCACCTGTGTTCATATTCAGAGAGGCTGAGCGGAGAATCTAAAAATTGGCAACATAGTTAGAGAAGATTCCATAAAACAAGCTAATTAATTAAAAATGTATCATGATATGTTGTAAGTTACCATGAGGTGAACGATCCTTGAGAATTGAATGAATTTGACATGATGCTATTGTCGTAGTGTTTATCCAGAGAAAAGGTTCCAACATTTCAGGGAATAAATTATACTTCTCCATTAAATTGACGTTTTAGACACTAAATAGCTGCGTACTCGCCACTTAACCTTGACGTGCACCTCCTTAGAAATGTAACTACATATCGCAGCAATGCACACTGCAACAACTGTACCTGATCTCAGTCGCCAAACAACCACACAAACTCAGCTCAGTGGTTTTACACACCGTCCTCTGACACATTCTATCTTTTCTTCATAGCAGTAGTTTTGGTAAAAGTTACTTTTTGACATTTTTTAGCTCAAACTCCATGATCCACTCAGTTTTTTTTTAATTGCCTCAATTGTTTGAAGTACACACACAGTGGCATAAAAACCTACTGGTGTAATTACAAGGACACAGACAAAACAGTACTTTCACTTAAACCAAGTTAAAGGGTCAGATGAAGAAAATGATGCTGCACTTATGTGTGTGTTCAGGAAGCAGCATAATTAATGGCGTTGGGGAAAAATCTAACCGCAATCTCCAAAGCTCTCATTATGTCATTTTTCACAACACAAACACCAAGAGGAACAGTAGTGTAAGTGTTTTCCTGTTTAAATGAGCAAACTTTCCTAAACTGTAGCTATTTTAAATTGAGGCAACTAAAAAGCTAGTAGAAAGTTATAGTCAAGGTCAGTTAGCTCAGACAACTTTGGTTTGGGACTGTCTGAGGGGTGAGCCAACTAAAACAGTTGTTTTATTTGGACACTTGGCAAATGAGGAAAATGCTCGTTAAGAGCATGATTGGGGGATTGAACCTGGGCTCTTTGAAACAGTATGCTCCTGAACAAAGCTTTTTTTTTTACTTCGCTTTAAAGAGCATCAGATTTTAAATTTTTAGTCATACCATCTACTGTATAAAATTTTTGTGGAGGAAAAACATTATGCCTACATACTTTATATGTGCCTACTAACACAATTTCAATGTAGGCTAAAAAAGTCAAAGAAAGTTTTTCAAATCTAGCATACACTGTAAATACATACTACAATACCACGGACTGTATATAAAGATGAACGACTTGTGAGCTCCCAAGAGTGAAGCCAAAGTATCCGTATTACCCCCTGGTGGCTGGCTGCAGTATTGTTAATAATCTCTACTTCCTCCATGTTTGTGGATGAGACATGGACCAAATGAAAAGTATATGTGAAATGAATGTATCCCAAAGATGGTTTCTGTCATTTTAGTTAATTCCTCAAGTGTTCATGCCATAAATATTTGATGCCATAAAAAAACATCATGACTGACAACTTACTCGCGATTGGTTGAGCACATGTTTTGGCGATACTGCAGCTGTACACACGGATTACTATTGCGCAGACTCTGGCTCTAAATTACGTCATTTCCACAAGATGGCAGCGTATATATTCAGGATATTTAGGCTTCATTTCTGGATAGTGGAAGGAAGTGTAGTCGTCCATCTTTATTTACAGTCTACTAGCTACCTACAATGGTTGCAAACTGGACAAACCTTGATACAAACAAGATAAACCTTTGCTAACTTTGAAACTATGGCCTGTGAGCTAAGATGCTTACATTATTTAAAGAAAAATATGGTTGTTTTAGTTTGCAGCATTCGACAATTACATTTAAAAAGACTAAGAGAGAGTGAAGAAGTTCATTTCCTGTATCTGTTTTATTGTCGAGAGCACAAATTCTGCAACCAGACAATGCTACATCATCTGGTAACCCCTTTATCAATTTGCACTAATATCATATAATTATCCTCGATTCTGACTGAAGGCATCTAGAGGTCTGTTTAAAAATGTCAACTTAAAAAACCCTCTCATTACTTTTTCAGGTTTGACCCGAATACAAAATGCATAATACATAATACATTCATCCAGAATCCATTTAGAAGAAATCGTGGATTTTACTGTAAAAACACCCTCAGGCAATCAACTCCAAAATGTCATGGTCAGCGTGATGCAGTAGAGGCAAGACGGAAAATATCAAAGTTGTTATTGTGTTCTTGTTTCCCCCCCCAGTGACTGTAGTTAAACAATCTCCTTTCTCTCTTGTACCAAAGCTGGGATATGTAAGGAATTACGCTGTGAGTATGATGTGTTTTCCTCTCCTGCTTGTCTGTCCTGAAGTCAGTTATTCATCCAAACATAATCACTTTTCAAGCACTGCACTGGAGCAGGGAGCAGAGAGGGGTGTGCACAGAGTGTGTCTGTTCATTTCAGTCAACGATATCCTATTTCTTTTGTTTTCTGACACTTTTCCCCCAAAGCATGAGAAGCAAGCTGAACTTGTGTCTACTGTACTGTTGCTCATAGTATATGTTTTTCATTTTAGCTCATTTAATTCAATAGCAAGTTTCTAGTTTTCATCGTTCTAAATGTTGAAATGATGATCTGTCTGTTCTCGGAGATGACGAGGAGAGTCTGACACTTAAAACCATTGTGTGACAGAGCTGTAGAGCTTCATATCAGATCAAAACGCAGCGTTTGAACTGGTTTTATTTTGATCTCGGAGCTGCAGAGGAGGTCAAAAGAAGCAGATGCAGGTCTGTAAAATTTGACATGCAGCGGAGTTGACAAGGCAGCTCCGTAGAAATGAAAGGATCAGTGAGGGAGGCTGTAAACATAACATCTAAAGTTAAGCTGCTGTCAATCTGTGAATCCTTCTCTACAATTAAACAGAAATAAAAAGCCGCTCTTATAAAGTTATCTGGAAAGTTAGTATATAAAGAAACTCAGAGTCATTGAAAAGATTTATGTGTTCACACTTGATTTTACGCAGACTATAACATTAGAATTGTCTCTTTAAAGTCTCGTTAACTGTGTGACCCTGAATGACATTTTTATGTTAGTGGAGCCAGAATATATTTTGACAGTATTTAAAGTACACAGAGGTGTGGTGAGAAAAGTGTCTGAAAAAATAGCCCTTTATAAAATGTTTAAATATTCTCTGTGCTCACCACATTAATCTGCCTCAGACTTTTGACAGAAATTTCAAAGCAGGTCCTCTCACTGCTGTGACATCTCCTACAAGTTATAGTTATACAAATTCGGGATTTTAAAGTGCAAGTAGAGATCACATCAGTCAGATAAAGCCTTTAGCCATATGAGCTGTGACACATATTCCCTGTCAGATTTTGTTTTACTGGTGCTGTAACATAAGGTTCATTAAATTTAAATCATTGATGCAACAACTTCAAATTTACTATTAGCTGCTTGTTACTTTAAAGCCACTTCATTCAAGAAGTCAATTGGTTGATGCATTCTCTAATATTTTATATAATTGTCTGATACACCACCATCATCTATTGCTGAATGAGGCAACATGGCTACTTTGTAAAAGTATTGTCATATTTTTGCGGCAGTAGCCGCAGACCTCCCGCAGACTGTGTCAATGAGGCACGATCACACCTCTGCTGCAGATTCCCTTTAAAAGAACTTAACTGGCAAAACACAAATTGACTTTAACGACGAAGTCACGGGAAATGCAATTTCAGTGCCTAGTGCTTACTGCTATTTCATTCATCAAAAATGTGTCTATAAAACAAGTCGTCATTTTGGTCAGTTTTTGACAGTGGATCAGATTAAAATGTTACAGTGAGTAATGAAAGAGTCCGGAGCAGCCACAGTGAGCTGTTAGATCATGAGCTGCTCTCGCCACCTCCTTTCACTGTACCCTACAGTTTGTGAGCAGCATAAATCAGATCAGAATAATGGAAAAAGACAAATTACTGTTGGACTTCTTTATTAAAACAACAATGTTTTTTCTGCCCCTAGAATGATCTGACTTGTAATATCAGACCACATTCCCCGTTACCAGCTCTACCTACTGGTGTCCCCCCTTTTTACGGAAACCAATTTGGAACTTTTTCAGAATGTATTGTTTTTATTCTCATATAATCAATCAATCATTTAATCAAATTTTATTTCCATAGCCCATTTTCACAAATCACAATTTGCCTCATAGGGCTTAACAAGGTGTCATATCCTCAGCTCTTAACCATCAACAAGAGTAAGGAAAAAAAGTATTTACAACAATAAATAGTATAAACAGATTGTGACATAATTGAAAGTAAATAAATTGAGGAATTGTTATCAGTAATGGTAGAGTATCTGAGTAGGCATATCTTATATCAAGCAGTATAGTTCGCGATCAGGATCCACCTCCACGATCAGCTGCCACCACCATCAGGATCCCCCATCGGCTGCCACCTCAATTATGGTCCACCACCACTATCCGCATTCTTATCACAATCCTAATTTAGTCTCCGAAATACTGTAGTTTCTATTTCTCATCGTCCATTCTTCATTTCCTGCTTTTGTTTTTGTAGAGATAGTTGGTCCTAAATGCTTTTTTGAGACATCACATGCATGTTTACATCATCGCATGAAACAGGCAGATGATTTACCAATCCAATCGCCATAAGGAACCAATAGAAACCACTTTGAGCTCACTAGCTACTTGCTTGGTATTTGGCTACTAATTTTAACATTATCTCCTATTTGATATCTCTAGCCTAGCAAACACTAAATAAACATTGGAAGCGTTGGTTGTAGCGAACATGAATTTATGTTTCAACTAAAAGGCTAATTTCATACACAGCTAAATCTATCATTTATTTGCAATTGGAGCACAGAACTAAACCACTCAGTCATTTGAGATGATAATTTTCCAATTCTAAAAAAAGGAGAATTCTTTGAAAATTGATCAAAAGCAAATATTGTGTTAAGATG